CCTTAATTTCTCTTTCTGATCTTTCATTTTTAGTGTATAGGAATGCAAGAGATTTCTGTGCATTAATTTTGTATCCTGCAACTTTACCAAACTCATTGATTAGCTCTAGTAGTTTTCTGGTGGCATCTTTAGGATTTTCTAGGTATAGTATGTCATCTGCAAACAGTGAGTTTTACTTCTTTTCCAATTTGGATTCCTTTTATTTCTTTTTCTTCTCTGATTGCCATGGCTAGGACTTCCAAAACTATGTTGAGTAATAGTGGAGGGTAGACACCCTTGTCTTATTCCTGATCTTAGAGGAAATGCTTTCAGGTTTTCACCATTGAGAATGATGTTTGCTGTGGGTTTGTCATATATGGCCTTTATCATGTTGAGGTAGGTTTCCTCTATGCTGACTATCTGGAGAGTTTTTATCATAAATGGGTGTTGAATTTTGTTAAAAGCTTTTTCTGCATCTATTGAGATGATATTATGGGTTTTATTCTTCAATTTGTTAATATGCTGTATCATATTAATTGATTTGCGTGTATTGAAGAATCCTTGCATCCCTGGGATAAACCCCACTTGATCATGGTGTATGATCTTTTTAATGTGTTGTTGGATTCTGTTTGCTAGTATTTTGTTGATTATTTTTGCGTCTATGTTCATCAGTGTTATTGGTCTGTAATTTTCTTTTTCTGTGATATCTTTCTATGGTTTTGGTATCAGGCTGATGGTGGCCTCGTAAAATGAAAGTGGGAGTGTTCCTCCCCTGCAATTTTTTGGGAAGAGTTTCAGAAGGATGTGTTAGCTCTTCTCTAAATGTTTGATAGAATTCTCCTGTAAAGCCATCTGGTCCTGGACTTTTGTTTGTTGGAAGATTTTTTTTTTTTTTTTTTTTTTTTTTAAATCTCTCTTGACCTAGTATTGCATTTCCTCCCAGACTTTTTTGTTTGTTTGTTTGTTTGTGTTTGTTTTTGCGGTATGCGGGCCTCTCACTGTTGTGGCCTCTCCCCTTGCGGAGCACAGGCTCCGGAACCACAGGCTCAGCGGCCATGGCTCACGGGCCCAGCCGCTCCGCGGCATGTGGGATCCTCCCGGACCGGGCCACGAACCCGTGTCCCCTGCATCAGCAGGCGGACTCTCAACCACTGCGCCACCAGGGAAGCCCTGTTGGAAGATTTTTAATCACAGTTTCAATTTCATTACTTGTGATTGGTCCGTTCATATTTTCTAATTCTTCCTGATTCAGTCTTGGAAAGTTGTACCTTTCTAAGAATTTGTCAACTTCTTCCAGGTTGTCCATTTTATTGCCATGTAGTTCCTTGTAGTAGTTTCTTATGATCCTTTCGATTTCTGCAGTGTCAGTTGTAATTTCTTCTTTCTCATTTCTAATTTTATTGATTTGCATCCTCTCCCGTTTTTTCTTGATGAGTCTGGCCTAAGGTTTACCAATTTTGTTTATCTTCTCAAAGAACCAGCTTTTAGTTTTATTGATCTTTGCTATGTTTTTCTCCATTTCTATTTCATTTATTTCTGCTCTCATCTTTATGATTTCTTTCCTTCTACTGACTTTGGGGTTTTTTGTTTTTGTTTTTTTTTCTAGGTGCTTTAGGTGTAAGATTAGATTGTTTTGAGATTTTTCTTGTTTCTTGAGGTGAGATTGAATTGCTATAAACTTCCCTCTTAGAACTGCTTTTGCTGCATGCCACAGGTTTTGGGTTGTCGTGTTTTCACTGTCATTTGTTTCTAGGTATTTTTTATTTCCTCTTTGATTTCTTCAGTGATCTCTTGGTTATTTAGCAGTACACTGTCTAGCCTCCATGTGTTTGTGGGTTTTTTTAGTTTTTTTCCTGTAATTGATTTCTAATCTCATAGTGTTGTGGTCAGAAAAGATACTTGGTATAATTTCAATTTTCTTAAATTTTCCAAGGATTGATTTGTGACCCAAGATGTGATCTATCCTAGAGAATGTGCTGTGTGCACTTGAGGAGAAAGTGTATTCTGCCACTTTTGGGTGGAATGTCTTATAAATATCAATTAAATGTATCTGGTCTATTGTGTCTTTTCAAGCTTGTGTTTCCTTACTAATTTTGTCTGGATGATCTGTCTATTGGTGTAAGTGGGATGTTAAGGTCCCCCACTATTATTGTGTTACTGTCGATTTCCCCTTTTATAGCTGTTAGCACTTTCCTTATGTATTGAGGTGCTCCTATTTTGGGTGCATAAATATTTATAATTGTTATATCTTGTTTTGGATTGATCCCTTGATCATTAGGTAGTGTCCTTCCTTATTTCTTGTAACAGGCTTTATTTTAAAGTCTATTTTATCTGATATGAGTATTGCTACTCCAGCTTTCTTGTGATTCCCGTTTGCATAGAATATCTTTTTCCATCCCCTTTCAGTCTGTATGTGTCCCTAGGTCTGAAGTGGGTCTCTTGTACACAGTGTATATATGGGTCTTATTTTTGTATGCATTCAGCCAGTCTGTGTCTTTTGGTTGGAGCATTTAAGTCATTTACATTTGAGGTAATTATCGATATGTATGTTCCTATTACCATTTTCTTAATTGTCTTGGGTTTGTTTTTGTGGGTCTTTTTCTTCTCTTGTATTTCCTGCCTAGAGAAGTTCCTTTAGCATTTGTTGTAAAGCTGGTTTGGTGGTGCTGAATTCTCTTAGCTTTTGCTTATCTGTAAAGCTTTTGATTTCTCTATCAAATCTGAATGAGATCCTTGCTGGGAAAACTAATCTTGGTTGTAGGTTTTTCCCTTTCATCACTTTAAATGTGTCCTGCCCCTCCCTCTTGGCTTGCAGAGTTTCTGCTGAAAAATCAGCTGATAACCTTATGGGGATTCCCTTATATGTTATTTTTTGCTTTTCCCTTGCTGCTTTTAATTTTTTTTCTTTGAATTTAATTTTTGTTAGTTTGATTAATATGTGTCTTGCTGTGTTTCTCCTAGGGTTTATCCTGTATGAGACTCTCTGTGCTTCCTGGACTTGGGTGGCTATTTCCTTTCCCAATTTAGGGAAGTTTTCAACTATAATCTCTTTGAATATTTTCTCAGACCCTTTCTATTTCTCTTCTTCTTCTGGGACCCCTGTTATTTGAATGTTGGTGAGTTTAGTGTTGTCCCAGAGGTCTCTGAGACTGTTTTCCATTCTTTTCATTCTTTTTTCTTTACTCTGCTTCTTGGCAGTTATTTCCACCATTCATCTTCCAGCTCACTTATTTGTTCTTCTGCCTGTTATAATCCTGTTGATTCCTTCTAGTGTGTTTTTCATTTCAGTTATTGTGTTGTTCATCTCTATTTGTTTGTTCTTTAGTTCTTCTAGGTCTTTGTTAAACATTTCTTGTATTTTCTCAGTCTGTGCCTCCATTCTATTTCCAAGATTTTGGATCATCTTTCCTATCATTACTCTGAATTCTTTTTCAGGTAGTTTGCCTATTTCCTCTTCATTTATTTGGTCTTGTAGGTTTTTAACCTTGCTCCTTCATCTGTAGTATATTTTTTTGTCATCTCATTTTTTTTGATGGGTGAGACTGTGTTCCTGTCTTACTGGTTGTTTGGAATGAGGCTTCCAGCACTGGAGTTTGCAGGCAGTTGGGTAGAGCTGGGTCTTGGTGCACAGATGAGGAACTCTGGGAGACCTGACTCCAAGGAATATTCCCTGGGGTCTGAGGTTGTCTATTAGTCCAGCGGTTTGGACTCAGTGCTCCCACCACAGGAGCTCAGGCCCGACCCCTGGCCCATGAACCAAGATCCCACAAACCACACAGCAAAAAAAAAAAACCCAACATGGTGCAGAACAATAACAAAGAATAAGAAATAAAATAAAATTAGAAAACTAAAACTAACAGATATATTAGAAACAATAAAAGTATAAATGAAACAACAACCGGAAAGTAAAACAGAACCACAATAGCAAAAAAAAAAAAAAAAAAAAAAAGGCCGGAAAAGGCCTTGGCTTAGGTAAGGGTGGGGTTTAGACAGGGGGCTGGGTCCTATACTCAGGACCCACGGGGCCAGAAAAGGCCCAAGTGGGGGGCAGGGCTTAGGCTCAGCACAGCTGGATGGGGCCCTGGAGTGCTGCCAGCCTCAGAGTGCAGAGTATTGGGGCCAGGACCTCAGCAGGCTCACCAGGGCCCAAGTGGGTGTGGGAAATGATAGCTACGTTCCCCCCCAATCCTCATACCCCCAAGGGTCCCTCCCCATTCACCTCTACTCTTCCTCCCCCATCCTCCAATGCCCCCACACAGCCAGAGGGGGCCCTGGAGGGTGGAGGACAAGGCCCATGACCCCAGCAGGCTCCCTGTGGCCCAAGTGGGCAGGGGAAATGCTAGCTGTGCTCCCCTCTGATCCTCTGAACCCCTGAGGGCCTCTCCACGTCCCTGTTGATCCCCTAACAGTGAGTGGGCCTCTCGAGGCGTGGGAACCCCTCCCCTACTGCCACCCCTCAGGGGTGCCAGTCCCATTCCACCTCCACTTCTCCTCCCCCCTTGCTCCCCCGCCCATGTTCTGCCTTGTCTTTTGGGGGTTCCTCCCATACCCTTGGGTGTCAAGGTCCCCCACCGGCATCTGGTAGGTGCCCTAGTTGTGAGGAGACGCGGACTCTGCGTCCTCCTACTCCACCATCTTGACTCTGCCTTCCCATGTTATGTTCTGATGTAAATTTTAGACCTAAAAATAAGTCTTCACCAGAGCAAATGAAATGCCACTTATGGTGAAATATTATACTTTATTGTTTTTCTGAATTATCAGTAAGGTTACAGACACCTAGAAAGGAGTGAGCACACCTCTCATAAAGATCTCAATTTCCTTATGAAAGAAAATGACATAATGAAAACTTAAGGGAGGAGAAAATAATAATATAACCACTCAGTTCCATATATATCTTTACTACTTACAAGGACCTTTCATATATTTTTGATCCTCACAATCACCTGGTGAGGTAGGCAGGTTTCAGTTTTTCATTCTAATGAGGTATTTTCTCCATACACACTGAAGAATGCCAAGAAAAGTTTGCTCTTGAACCCTAGTTTCCATGTATTTTAAGAATAAATTCTTTAAAAAGCAGGTTTTCTGACTAACTTTACTTTCAGAAATTACATTAAACATTTCTTAATTTCATAGTCCATCCTTTACAAAGAAGACAAGAAATTTCTGAAGTCCACCTTTGGATTCTTTTCAGAGTCACTCTGACTAAGCAACATTTTTAGTTGAGAGAAGTGTTTCTTTGTTTTGCTCACATTCTTTGAGGAGCAAATGGGTGTTGACTGTCCAGATTTAGCTGTTCTGAAAAGAAACATAAAGCCACACTTAGGTATACTGACAAACAACAGTTCTTTCTTCTTAGCCTAGATACCTGCTACTAGAATCATTTTCTACTTTTCCATAATTATGGCCATATGTGAGCAGTGGCTGTACCCAGAAAAGTCATTCCAATTTTATTAAAAAATCTCCTCACTAAACAGGCTACAGGCAACATTTAGGAGGTATAATGGGTAGTTCTGGAAGCTTCTTTCACCACCTGAAAGAGAAAGCTAAAGGCAAAGTGTCATCAGGTCTGAGTTCCTTGTAAGTCTGACACCAAGATTCATGGCAGTTCTAAGCAAGGACTTTAAAAACATATTTTTTCTTCACAGCTCAAGACCACTTCTTTCTCAAAAGTGAAGAATATCAACCTACACATATAGGTACCATTCCATTGTATTTTCGCCCCTACAATATAAGCTCCATGGGGCAGACACTTTGTACGACTAACTGTATATTCCAGTGCTTTTTAACAGTGCCAAGCACAGAGGACACTCTCTAAAAATATCCACTGAATAGATGATTCCCCATCTGGTATGTGTGTATTTATGCCTCGTTCTATTTCCTTCCTTCTAATTGTGCTCATCCCCCGAAACAATATTTGGGGTTTGTCAGTCTCATCCCTCTTCTGACTCCCCATCCATGATAAATGTGAAATAGCTTTCTCTTTCCTGCATATATCTAAGAAGGAGTCTGGTCTAAATGCAATTGAATTATTTTAAATATGCCAAATGTTCTTTTATCTACACATGTCCAATAAAGTAGAAACTTCCATGATGAATTCCTATTGTACCAAACATCAAAATAACTAGGAATATAGAGAAAACTGGACTTGAAATTTTAAATGTCAAACCCAATATAAAAAACCTCAATTCAGTAAAAACAAACAATCCAGTCCTTGCTGAATTTTGTTATTGATTTTCAAGAAACTACCACACTCTTTTGTAACAAAATGTTTGTTTAAAAATTCCTTTCACAGTTTCTATGGAGCTAAATTTATTGATAAGCATAGTTAAGTGTGTCTTGAGGATTATTAAAATTAAAACATGTGCCCAGTCACACAGTTAACTTAGTATCATTTCACAAATCCCTATTCAGTTAGATTTCCACAGGAATTTCTGATACAGGAAACAGCAAGAACAAAGGTTTAGAGCAGGAAAGTAAACTGTGAGTGGTTCAGTTTTGCTGACACATAAGATGAATTAAGGCAAGTAAGAGAGGCAGACAGATTGGTCCCAGGTAGTGGGGGCTGGAAATCCATGCTGGAGTATTTGTTCCATATGCTACAGAGTGAGGTGCTAAAGCTTCTAATCAGAACAGTGCTTTTGGAGTTCCTGGTGGCACAGTGGTTAAGAATCCGCCTGTCGGGGCTTCCCCGGTGGCGCAGTGGTTAAGAGTCTGCCTGCCGATGCAGGGGACACGGGTTCGTGCCCCGGTCCAGGAAGATCCCACATGTCGTGGAGCAACTAAGCCCATGTGCCACAACTACTGAGCCTGTGCTCTAGAGCCCACGTGCCACAACTATTGAGCCCACATGCCACAACTACTGAGCCTGCACTCTACAGCCCATGAGCCACAACTACTGAGCCCATGTGCCACAACTACTGAAGGCCTCATGCCCAGCACCTGTGCTCTGCAACAAGAGAAGCAACCCTGTGAGCCTAGAGCCCATGCTCCATAACAAGAGAAGCCACTGCAAGGAGAAGCCAACGCACCACAACGAAGAGTAGCCCCTGCTCGCCAGAACTAGAGAAAGCCTGCATGCAGCAACGAAGACCCAACACAGTGAAAGATAAGTAAACAAATAAATTTATAAAAAATAAAAATAAAAAATATCAGACTAGAAGGGCTTGAAACTAGGAGCAGGAAGACTCAGGGAATTATTGTAGTAGTCCTGGCAAAGAGTGAATAATGAACTAAACGGATAGCAGCAGCAGGGAGAAAAAGGAAAGAATAGCTGCAGACACCTTGGAAGCAGGATGGATAGAAACTGGCGACTAACTGGACCAAGACTGAGCAAGTAGGATTGTCAACTATACTCACCATTTCAGGTCAGAATGTCTAAAAGGGCATGTTCATTTACAGAATAAAGAACTTAGGAGGATGGGCAGGTTTGAGTAGTTACCTGTGGGGACATGTAAGGGTGGGAAGTGGATATATTTAATAGGCAGCTGGGAACAGGCCCAGGGAGAGACTGGAAGTAGAGGAACACACCTGGAAGTCAGTACAGTGATGACTTCCTCAACTGCATGGCAATTTCAGGGAGTGTATTAACAGTGAAATTAGAACTCATGGGTTAACACTGGTAATTTAAATAGCTTAATGGATTAAGATACCTGAAAATCAATGCTGGGCTCTTGGCTTTGGAACCAGACATATCATGATTTAGTTTTGCAGAACTTAGAGTCTTTCTCTCTGGGGTCTTTAGGCTGAGTTTACTCGCAGGAGTGGTAGGATTGCTCTTCAATGTTGATAGAAAGCTTCTACTTTTACCATGATGTTTAACTGTTCTGTTGCATGTTTTACAAGTAATCAACTGCCATAAAAAGAAGAAATAGTGGGTCTGATTTCTCTTATAATTTAATCCAATAAACTGCATGCTCATTAAATTTATATATGTAAGGGACTAAACCAGGTACTGCAGGGTGAGTAACAAAGGCTGCCCTCAGCAAGCTTGTAAACTAGCAGCAGGA